GCTCCTCTTTCCTTCTCTCTCCATGGATTAGCCCAAGAGAGGTCACCCGTCGCACTTTTTACCTCCCGCTTAGGAAGATCTCGATACGACCCCACATCACCACCATCATCGTGGTAAGGAGATTCCCTAGACAGCCCGCTCACCAACCCCGACTTCCACACTCATGTATGGCCATTTCTATAGCATTGAGCCTGAGACCACCTTACGCGCTTCAACTCCGCACCCACTTTTCCCTCAGGCCGATAAACGGCAAATGCTCTGAATGCCATTTCTCACTTTTTTCGTGAAGATTTTGTTACATTCCTTAGAAAAACGACCTTCCTCTTCCACGAGCCCTTCAACATCTATGAAATGAAACCCTACCTTTGAACGTTTTGAAGCGGTGGTCAACCTTGGTTAGCCCCACATACGACCCCCTTCCAAATCGCAGATATGAACTTCGTTCAGACTGTCCAAACGATTGACTCTGGTCTCAAGGTAAACTTTACAGGTGTGGAACCGTAGCTAATGTTTGAATTTATGGCATTCTATAAAGGAAGTACCATAGCCATACCGGTTTGCGAAGAACGCAGCCATGAAGAGGGCAAAGATTCTATTTCATGCAGCGTTTTTTACGAGGAAAGACACGACTTTGTCCATGCAGTCAAAAAGGCTAGTTGGGTAGTTTATAGCAGTCAAGGGTCGTATCGCACAATAGTGCATGACAATGTCAGCCTAATAATAAGTTGTTAATGACGTTCGTGCGATTAGTGGGCTGGTTCGGGAAGTCAGAGCTGCTGAAAAACTACTATAAACACCTTCATTACTAATAATCACACGTAACATGACAAGTAGGTTTTTTGGCGAAGCTTGTGGCGCTGGAGCAAGTAGTCGGACCGGTCGTGGTTGCTGAGCAATTAGTCGTGAATGATGCGTTTCGTACAGTCCTTTGGGCAGACCTTCATCGAAACCGGCGTAGCCGTATGTGCACCGAATTTGCCGTCTTCCAATGGGCCTTCTTTTACAAACTGAAAACCGTGGACATGCGGGAAGAACATGTAGAAAGGATGAACAGGTTGGGGTGACTTGCATGCATAGAAAAGCTCCAAGAGACTTCAACGTTCCACTTTTGGCACTCCTCCAGCGATGCTTGTCTGCTCCGTTTTGCTGCCAGTGGTCGAGTAAGCGCATTGTCAGTTGATTGGCTGAAGACATTCTCTCCTCAATATCTTCACAGCACTTGAATGAATCCAGAGAATTTTTGAAAAACCTACTGTTGAAACTGAGCAATTTTGGTGCAACGTTGGGAGGAGTCCTCCTTTTGGAGCAGCGTAGCCTTTTGTGTAGCCGGTGACCAGTGACGGTTTATTGTCTTGGATTTTCACAAGCACCACTTCGAGATTGTCCTTAAACAGCAATATATCCGAAGTTTATTAGCTTGAGGGTATCCATTGAGGCTGTTTTTATTGGTCGCCAAGGAAAGTCTCTGAAGGCGCTCATGTCGTTGGGAAGTGGGGGGGGGGACATTCAAGTAAATAAGCCATTCACCGCACTTGTAATCAGGGTCAACCGTCCGTTCGAACTGTTCGAACGGAGGGTCGCAATTGGTTCTGGGAGGGGGAGAGGGGTCCCATTGAGCTTTGGTCGCATTGTGGGTTCTGGGAGGGGGAGAGGGGTCGCATTGAGCCCCCCCCGCTCGACGGCTATTTTTGGGGAAAAAGTGGGCGGAGTTTCGGAGTTTTAGGTAGGTTTTGGGCTGTGTCAACTGGTCTCAGAATCAAATACTATAGAAGAGGGAGAGGTCGCGGTGGGGGAAGGCTGGTTGTATTGGGGGTCGCAACTGTGTATTGGTGGGGGTCGCAACTGGACCCCTCGAGAGGGGGGGGTCGCAAAAATCCCGAAAATGTTCGAACGTGACGGTTGACCCTGCTGGTAACTAGCGGGAGGACGCCAGAACCCCTTGCCCTTCTAAGATTGAGAAAGGGAGGGGATTATGGGCAAGGATGTGAGCCATCAATGAATGTTCTCCCTGGCGCTTCTTCCCATCCCTAGGCTCAGTACAAAATCGCTTCCATCGGCCCTGTTTTCGATGCCCCTCCCACAGCGAACATAAGCGCCGTCTCGAAAAAAAAACTCAACAAAACTCAGTGGCTTTAAATTTCAGCGAGCAAATTCTGTTCATTCTTGTGGTCCATTTAAATGGATCGGCTATGAACTCGTTGCAACTAGGTCGAAGTCACGGGTTACTGAGTCCAGAAGTAGTCTACTATCGAAACAAAGCGCAAAAGCGTTGGATTAATGCGGAGGCTTTGAGGATTTCGCTATTTCAATCCTTATTCTATGCTAATTTTTGTCATTTTTTAACGTCATCATACTGTGGGTCTTCTCCTTTCTCCCAAGCACTACATATCGACAGTTTCACATAACTTGCTCTAACAATAAGGCGGAAATGAGACAAGAGCAGATCCATCCAGTCATCAAACATGAACATTTACTACTTTGAATTTGCCTTCTTCAAACTTCCATTTGCTTCATCATTGCGATAATTTTGAAAACCAGGGTAACGCTTTGAAACTGTGAAGCTAGGAAAAGTTTGGAAAGCTTCACATATGACGATAAGCGTTCTACAGCCGTGGAGCCATGAAGCTTCAGGAGCTGGTTTACGCTCGAAGAGGATACTTTGTTAGGTGCTATCGCAAGATACGGGCGCATTCTCTAGGACTACGACTGGGGAGGAACTTGGAGGAAAACTGAAAGTTGATTACGAACTCTGAGCTCTCTCTTTCTTTGCCAAGACCATTGTCCCGTTCTTAACAAAAAAGAGATGTTTCACGCTGTTTCTAATGCATTGCCACCATAATGCACCCGTATCTTGTGATAGCGCCCTTCGATTTATTGCTACTGAAATGATATGGGTTTTGTTCGGTTATATCGTCAACTATGTGTGGAAAAACTGAAGTTGCGAAAGTTGCAAACTTGCAGCAGCTCAATACTTTGATGAACAGGATGGCTTTATGGAAAGATCATCATCAGATAGTTCGTTTGATGTTCTTGCGGAAGTGGTGTGGTGGGCAGTGAAGCTGCTTGCAACGCGCGCGGTTCGGGATTCGAAGCTAGGTCTTTCGTCCGGGCCAACCAATTAAGAAAGAAACCTTTAAAGACGAAATAGCCAAGATGGTTCGTCTAAAACCTCTCACTCCCGGGTTAATTGGCACCAGACTTGCGTGGGAGGATAAAAACACCGAGTTGTACGTAGGTTCTTGCCCCACAAAGTCATTTGATACTGAGGACATAATTTGCCTGCAACTCTCATTTATGCGGACCTTAACGGGATGTGACTAAGAGGTAAAGATCGCCGACATTGCAGTTTCAACGAAGAGCGCTGGCACCAAAACGAGAGATTCTATACGTACTCTATATTATAGCATTAGAAAAAATCAGTGCAGAGGACTTCCGAAGCCTCCGACTAAGCCTCATTCATTCTATAGAGAAACCAGTCCTCACAGTTTTCAGGTTCTTATTTTGACTTTATGCCGGCTGCTAATGTGCTTTTTGAGCCAGTCACAAAATGATGAGAGCAAGGCTTTCCTCATAGCGCACTGTTCGGAAGAAGTCAAGTAGTTGTGGAGGTCAGCCAGCTGTTGTAAAAACCGTATGATTACAACAACTTGGAACTTATAGAAGTTATAGCAATTTCTAAGCTTGAGTCTCAGATGCAACTGCAAGAACTGCTCGCAGGAAAGTTTCCACTCAAAATGCTGCTCCACTTCTTTTCTACCAAAATCCATAGGAAACTTCTATCGAAAGATGGAAAAGCAATTTTTGACTAATCAACGAGAGTGTCTATTGAATTTCATTCTACTTGCGAGTTCGCTTGATATACAGAGCAATAAAAAAGACACATTTTGTCTCCAGACTCAAATGGGTTTAATCACACTTTGCTCAGCTCAAAGCGTGTGCTCCCAACTTAGAATTGAAGAGCGCATTTCATTTCATAAGAAAATCTTCATAGTGGCCATCTACGTGGACGGCATCAGAAAAGTTTGCCCCGGAAACATGGTGCTCTGGTCGAGCTCAATGGGGTTCTCGACTGATCGTGTACCGTTACGACGGGGCCGAGGGGGTTTGCATAGTTAGAGCTAATGTCCCTAGAAACTCGTCCCACGTTGAATCGAATTTATTACGTTTATCCAAGAAATTGTAAGAGCTTCAGGCTGAAGCAGTTACTGTAGGCCTCCCTGAGCTCGACGACGGTGACAGATGACGTCATATTCTGAAGACGGTGAGGGTAGTGAAGGAGGGCCTGCGTGTACTTATAGAGGGACATTTAGGGAATATTTTGCTGAGGAACTTCCGTCAACGACGGCAATCTCTGCGAAGAAAAAAGGCCGAAGTGCCAAAATGTTGGAAAAAAAACAAAAGAACAAAATGTCCTTTTGCCCCCCCCCCCTGTAATACGATTTTTCGAAGTCAGCACTCAATGGGCCTTTCCTCCATTAAGTTCAAGCTACCCACAATGCGCGATGCCGGTACCAACACAATAACAATTATTACAATGGTTTCCTTTCTTTTCTTCAAATGTAATTATAAGAGTGAAGTGGATCGCCTTTGAAAACAGACAAAAATATTCGTTGAAAATCCCGGGGGAAGCTAATTTTCTGAGTACGAAAGCGCATTCCTCATTGCAGTGGTTCGTAAACGGCAGCACGTTGCCTTACAAGGTGCCTAATCCTTGCGTAAGATGCTCTTATGCATTATGGATCTTTTTGCGAAATTGTTGCCGTTAAGTCGGTGCAGTCTGCCATCTTAGGGACCATTCCTTCTTTCTCGTGCAAAGGCTACACTCCACCATACCTATCACTGAAAAGTCTTGAAAATAGAGCGTGAGATTCATATACTCATTCTCTGTCAGCATGAGAATTAAAGAGATTCCATTAATGAGTCACGAAGGTCGAAGAAAGAGGAGCTTACCTATATAGAGATACAGGCGATTTCTAGAAGTGCGCACGATAACCTATTCAAATAAATGATATGGCCCTTGCCAACCTAAGGCATAGCCTTCCTATGCGGTCCAAAATTGCGCGCCAACTAGCCGCAGTGAAACCCTCCCGCCCTTTCGTTTTCCGTCTCGTGCCTCAAAGTCCTCTAGGCCGTGTCAGCAACGTTTAGCGTAAAATAGTTCAACACAGATGAGAGCGCGTCAATGCCAATCAACAGGCCATTAAAGGTTCCGTTCTTGGTACTAGAAACATCTTGTTCAACCATAATCCAACTACCACATTAACAATGGCTGGCACTTTCATCGTAAACCGCCTTCAAGAAGCAAAACAGTACCATTTACGCATGAATGGCCAAGAACACAGTGGCGTAGGAAGTGTATAGAACGACGTACAATCATATACCCCGGTATTTTTAGTCTCATTTCACTTTCTCTTTTTACATTTTCAAAATCCTTCCTTGAACGTTGTTTTTATTTACGTGTGAAAGTGCGTCTGACACCACATGCGTCCAATGATTCATTGCAATTTTTCTTGTTTGGCGGATGACCTTGGCGCAGTTTTGAGATTCTCTCTGCACGATCAAGAGGGTAATCCCTGATGGTTTAGGTTTCATTCCTAAGCATAATACATAAAAGGATAAAGGATCGAAAATTACAGATTGACAAATCACTTTTTTGAATGCGCCATGCATCCTACCTTCCACTAAAGCTTACAGCATTTAATCTGATATGGCTTAAAGAATGACAATGAAGGGAGAATGCCGATTCAAAAGAGCAGTATTTTTCTGATTTCAGAAACTAATAGCACCAAAATTAACCAAATATAATGAAGGGTTGGAAGCTTGGTTAGACTGCGCGAAATTCGATCTGGGATTTGACCTCTTACCGTGAACATAGTAAGCAGCACCACTTGCCACTGCACCACTGCCGCCCATATCTTTTAGTATATAATATATCAACCATCAAACCAGCTAGCTACTACTTAGTAACAAACTTCAACACAATAGACATGCCTAAGGAGTCTGCGTATTACTCATCTTGTCCTGAAAATCTTGTGAAACCTGGGAGAAGCGACCTATCGCAATTTTTCCCCCACGTCCCGTTTCTGAATCTTCAGTTTTCACAACTCTCCCACCCCCTATACCAAATTTTTGGTCATTTTTGAATAAATGTTGGACTGGTCGATCGCTGGGAGTAAGTATGAGCGGCAAACGTGCACCTAAAGTTCCCTCCTGTTGACAGAGAAACTTATCCCTATTTCTATTATTCGAAGATTAGTACTGTATGTACTCACCATGCCAGGGCCAAAGCCGATACCTGTCCATTGATTGTTACCGATCTTCTTGTTCACAAATTCCACAGTCAGCTCGTTATTGGACACCTGAAAATGGCTTCGATTTTTCCCGAAGAACTAGAACTTCTAGAAAAACTGAACCCCGTTAAAAACAAGATTAATTATATTTCAAAATTTCGAGCGTACCGCAAGATAAGGGCACTTGAGATATTGGCATTAGAAATCTCCTTGTTTGGTCAATGCAGGAATCTGAGGAGAATATGGAAGGAGACTCCAGTGTGCATATGAGCATTTTATTCTCCCCCGAAGTTCCCACTACTCTGCTGGGCTTCTTACTAGATGTCCCCGGATATTCCGATAGCACCAAGCCTTCAAGCTTTTCTCGAAGAAGCATTCGAAAAACTTCGCTACTAATTATGTGAAATGTCGGTGAAAATGTATATTTTACTTTTTTGAGCATTTTTACGGCTCTGTGACAACAACCACAAATAAATACCTACCTGCCAGCGAGCACTGACATCTCCACCGCTGAACGAGCACTGAGCCGTCACTGATGGCAGGAGAACGGCGAACAACACGACCAGTAACATCTTAAAAACGAACCCTTAAAAGGTACCCCTGCGACGAATTCATGCTGCCTGGATATCATCTCATCTTAATAGTGTATTACAATCCCGAAAGGACAGATGGAAAAGCAAAGTAAAACTGGCTAAGCGAATGGAAATGTTCGTTGGAGACGGTGCAGCAGCCAGTCTAAATACCCGTCGGAAGGCGGGACTGACAGCGGCCCCGACTTGACAAACAGCGATGACGACAAGGTGAATGATTCAAATAGAACGGCATTTTCCGGCTCTAAATTTTAATTATTGTGGCAAAGAGGAAAGAAAAGGAGCTGTCGCTGTAGCGATGTGATGAGCGCAGTGATAACTGCGCATAAAGAAGGCTCCTTTCAACAAATGACTGTCATAAATCGTCTGATGGACTCTGAACACAAAATTGATCGTGAGCAGGAACTGTGATGTTTGAACCAATCCGTAAGGTTATCTTGGTAAGGGCTGTATTGGGGTAGGGGGATAGTCCATTTTAGCTGACCTCTCGCGACGGTAAAATCTGGGTCGGTAACCTGTCTTGGATGACCGGCGCTTAATCATAACAGAACCAACTAACAATAAGGTTATCTATCTTTAGTTATGCGCCTAAATGTTGCGCCTTACACCCAGCATAGGGAAGGTAAACAGAAAAAATCAGTGAATATTTCTGACAATAAAATAAAGGGATTATCAAAATAGACTTCGTAGTCTTGCTCAATCTTGCACCTGGTGAAGTTTGGTAGGAATGGCAAGCTTTGAGTAAACTTATTAATTTCAAGAAAGGAGCTGTGATGGCTAAAACCAATGGGTAAGGATGTCCGATGGTAAGGGGAGAGTCAGGTTCGGCTAACAGTCTCTGCTTTGATTGACCTCTCGGGACGGGGAAATCTGGGTCACTTATCTAGGACAAGTTCTTGTCTAGTATTTTAGCATGGTAAACTATGAGTAATGATCTGATGTGAGTTCCAGGCACCACAAATGATAGAAAGGTGTTTGACTGTTCTTCTATCCCTTTCTTTTTTAGGAATATGCCACCACATCAAAACAACAGAGCTACACGAACGGTTGGTTGGGAGGGCTTTCCATTTACAAATTCATTCGTCTCCTAAGAGCATGTGATACTAAAGCGACCAGTAGAAATGCAAGGCTTGGCTGGGCTGGTGAGATTGGGTTTCAAAATTTTGAACAGTGCATGGTAAGCAGTGTCATTTGCTAAACTAGATCCCTAGGACCTCAATGTTTGGCGATCATAGGATCAGGCGCAGTGCACGCAAAAACTTAAGTACTCCAGAACTGTCCCCTTTTTCCCGCTAGCAAGCTTTTTTTGATCAATCTCAAGCCTTCCCAAGGTTTTGGCTCCCCAAGCTTTGCTGCTGCTAGCACAGTGCTACTGGTTTTCATAAAAATTGGAGGATAATTCTTTGGCGTAGATTAATCTGTGTTAGGGTGCGCCATGCTTTGTCCTTCCGATCAGAATCGTAGAGCATTTTAATTCGATGCGATCTATTCAGCGACATGCGGGGTGGGCTAATGTGCAAGGCAGCGTTTTTTCATCCTTCTTACCTGGAAGGTCCGATTCAGATTAATCAACTTCTAGAGGTGGAAGACTTGGATAACATGGACAAAACGCGATCCAATACTTGATCCCGGACTGAACTCAAGGTGTGTGACGCCAAATGCCACCACTCTCCTTCAAGGCACAACGAAATGCCTTGAGACTCGTTAGCAGGCTGAATTCAGAAAAGCGCACAATTCGACGTTTAGATAATCACAGCCTGTGGTATTCTTATTCACTTGTTTGTACAAGCGGGCAAGATGATACAAAGACCGATTTGCGAAGTTTTCGGCCTGTCGCCTTCGTTAGGGCCAAAGATCGATGCATTCTACCCCCAGATCCCACTTCACATTTCCAAACAGTCCCCATGGAAGCCTCCCATAATGAGTCACTCTAACGGCGGTCTCGCCAGCGCCCTACCGTACAGCCTAAGGTGAGCCGTCTGCTGCTTGTGATCTACAACGCTTCCTGGATGCTTCTATGAAGTCTATGGGGATTGTGTTGTCTCGAGGGGATGATCGCCCCAAAAGTTTGATTTTCGCAGGCTAATAAGAAGAAATATGAAATAATAAGGATTCGTCTGAGGAAAAAGCGAAACGAACCGATCTAATTATTTTTGTTTATGATGGTTTTTCTCCTTAATCTGACGATGCGACCACCGAAGCGTTGGCCGCGAATGAAAGTCGTATCATTTTGGCCGTGATTTACAAGCAAAGCGTGGAAGAAGGGCGACTGTATTTTTCAAAAAGATGCCAGACTAGGCCTTCATAGATATGATTCTGTTCTGTGCCGCAGAACTACGTGATTAAGCTGAATTGTGGCTCTCAATTTCGTTCCACTTGTCACATTTGAATTGGAGAAACCGCTTCTTTTGAACGGTACAATTGCTTTCCACGACATGCACTCCGAAGTTATTTGAATCATTTATCATTCAAATGATCATTATCCATGTCAGTTCTGTTGCAAAGACTAGGTAGACAGGTTGCGATGCGAAAAATGCCATGTGTTTGCCAAGCAATTCCTGACCATTTACTCCTTGCTTTGCTGGTACCATTGAACATAATATGCCCCGAATTTCGCATTCCAGAATACCTCCACATTTATTACAGTAAGACAAATACTTTATTGACATCAAATCGGGTCGATTCCCAACTCATAATAAAGGTAAAGCTGCCGTTGAATCAATCCCTTTTTGGGATGCGGCACGCATTCTACTTCTTTTACGGCGTTTGAATGCGATGTGGCCTATACAATGACTTGCGGGGGCCAGCCGATGTACAAGTCAGTGTTTTTATCCTCCCAGACAAGTCTGGTACCAATTAACCGACCCCGGAGGGATGGAAGGCTTGGTTGGCCCGGGCGACTCACGACCCAGGATTTGATCCCCGGACCGCTCGCGTGGTAAGCGCGCCACTTGTCACTACACCTATAAAGCATGCAAATGCATATGGATGGATAAGTAGCCATACAGCTCGTCCTATGCTGTCAACGTTGACAACTCTCAGCTAATCAAAAAACTTCTCGACCAACAGTTGGCCTTACCGATTATCGAAACGATCATGGCACGCCAAATTCAAAGGCGAGAATAGGTATAGGTTACTGCATTCGAAATCAAAGTATTTGAGCTGGTAGGCTCAGCAGCATCGTAACGAGAGGTAAATAATGGCTAGCCTCTTGGAATCAATCCACGGGCGAAATTCGCATTCTCCCACTGTACAAGGTCTCGTTTGGTTAGTCGTACTCCCTGTTTATGGTCAATATTGGCGAAAAAGTTTTAAACCCACAGTAATATCCCTGCCAAGGGCGGCACGCCAGGCAGGCTTATTACGTAATGTCATGACCTTCTTTGTTTAACACATTGCGTACCGCGTGCGCCACATGGTGGCGCACGATTTCACACGAAACATCATAGTTTAATCTGATTTATTTGACATTTTTCAATGCTCATGGAACTGGTTGCACTCATTTTCAGAGCCTGGAAACCATACGTGTCATCACTGGTATAAAATGTTGATAGATTAATGATGATACGTTTTTGAAAAATATAAAAAAGCTACGAAGTGCTCATACAACGGCGGTCCGCAATGTGTTAATCTTTC